AAGGATTCTCTGAGCCACAATTAGTAATTCTCTGCTATGAAATCAAGTCTTCTTCCAAATAAAATAGAACATAGTCCAGGCTTCAGTCTGCTAGGGCAGATCTTCCTATAGTGGCAAACAGCACTACCTTTAAGGCCCATCCAAACTGGAGCATGTGAAGGGGGAGAAACAAAAATAAGTTAAAATGAACATTTAAAATACCTAGTACTCTAGGCTCCATATCCACATTCAAACATGAAGAAATCTTGGTCTTGGACATATACATATTTGGCATGAGAACTTGGATTGCTTCTTTTACTGATGTTTATTCAGTCTTTCAAAATGACAAATACGAGAAAGACTTGGTAAATGAGTTTATTTTGGAGGTTTGTTAAGAGCCCGCTCACTGCTGGAACAGTGTATACAGAAAAAATATAAAATCATTAACACTCACTCCAAAAATAAGCAACTCTCAGCACTGACACCCTTAACAAAGCTGCTGAAGAAAAGGCAAGTGGGAAAGTTTGCCTTTTGACCACACTCCAAGGATAGGCAAAGCAGGAGTCAACTTAAAAAACAAGGGATGTTCACCAAGCACAAAGTGACCCTTTCCACAGGCTTACTAGAAAAGCCAAGTTAAAAATCTTTCGAAAGAGCCACGCATGAAAATTGAAATCCTAGCTAAATCAGTGCTGTTCTGCTTTCTATCAATTTTAGCACAATCTCCCAATTTCCTCAGCATCTTCTGAAAAATTAGATTAACGGAATATTATAAGGTATTCTGTTGGGTCACGACAAAAATAACTACTGGTTAATAAAGAAAATAGTTGTGACGCAGCTGCTCTGCCCTAAGTGGACAGCTTGAGAATGAACACCAATCTGGTTCCTGCCAAAACTATTTTCACTCACTCGACTCCTCTTTAACTTGTTGTTTTCTCCCTCCTAGACTCCTTTGTTAGATTTAGATTAACACCAAAAGAATCAGATTTTGTATGAACACAGCATTTATATAGATCCCATCCCTTTCATAAATACTTCAAATTGTACTCCCAATATTAATGTATGATGATCTTCTCAAATAACTCACTTTTTAAAAAAAGAAACATTAACACATCATTATCACCCAAAGTTTATAGTTTACATTAGGGTTAGTCTTGATGTTCTTCATTATATAGGTGTAGCCAAATGTATAATGACATACATATATCCACCATTGTTTTATCATATTAATATTTTAATTCCCCTAAAAATACTCTATGTTTCTGCCCATTTATCTCTCCCTCTTCCCCAAACCCCTGGCAACCACTGATCTTTTCACTGTTGCTATAATTTTGCCTTTTTCAGAACGTCATAAAGTTGGACTCATATCATCTATAGCCTTTTCAGATTGTCTCCTTTTACTTAGTGATATGCGCTTAAGGTTCCTCCATATATTTTCATACCTTGACAGCTCCTTTCTTTTTACTGCTGAATAGTATCTCATAATCTGGATATACCACAGTTTATCCATTAACCTACGGATAGATACTGCAGTTGCTTCCAAGTGTTGGCAATTATGGAATAAAGCTGCTATAAATATTTGTGTTCACGTTTCTGGGTAGATAGAAGTCTTTAATACATTTGGATAAATTCTAAGGAGTACAATTTTTTGCTTTTATGGTAAGTGTGTGTTTAGTTTTGTATGAACTTTGGAACTGTGTTCCAAAGTGGCTATACCATTTTGCATTTCCCAAGCAAAGAATGAGAGTTCACATTGCTCCACATCTTTACCAGGATTTGTTGTTATGGGTGTTCTGAATTTTAACCACCTATTAGGGTGGTTAGGTGTGTAGTGATATCTCTTTATTATTTTAATTTGTAATTCCTTAATGAAAAATGATGTTGGGCATGTTTTCATATAATTTTGTCATTATTATATCTTCTCTGGTGATGTGTCCATTCATGTCTTTCACATATTTTTAAATCAAGTTGCTTTCTTACAGTTGAATCTTAAGAGTTCTTTGTATATTTAAAATGCCAGTTTTCTATCAGATATATCTTCTATAAATATTCACTCCCAGACTGGTTTGTGTTTTCCTGTTCTTGACAGTGTCTTTCATAGAGCAGAAGTTTTTTAATAGTGAAGCCCAGCTCATCAATTACAAATTACATATAAAAGTATGTATTTTAATTTTGGTGATGCCTCTAAAAAGTCATTACCGTGCCCAAGGTCATCTAGATTTTTCCCTTGCATTTTCTTTTAAGAGTTTTATATGTATAATACATATATATGTGTGTGTGTGTATATATATATATAATGTTATATTTAGGTTTATTTATTTATCTAGGTTTATGGCATTTTGAGTTAATTTTTGTTATGGTTGTAATCCTGTCTCTAGATTTTTTTTTTTTTGCATGTGAATGTCCAATTTGTTAAAAAGATTATCCATTATATTCATCTTTTTTCTTTTCAGGTAGAGTCTAGCTTTTTTATCAGGCTGGAGTTCAGTGGCACTATCTCTCAGCTCACTGCAACATTCAACCTCCCCAGTTCAAGTGATTTTTCAGCCTCAGCCTCCCGAGTAGCTGGGATTACAGGCACGCGCTGCCACGTCCAGCTAATTTTTGTATTTTTAGCAGAGACAGAGTTTTATCATGTTGGCCAGGAGCATTTTGATCTCCTGATCTCCTGATCCACCCACCTCGGCCTCCCAAAGTGCTGGGATTGCAGGTGTGAGCCCCTGCTCCCGGCCTATATTTGTCTTTATAAAAGATTAGCTAACTATGTTTAAGTGGGTTTATTTCTGGGCTCCTTACTCTTTTCAATTGATCTATTTGCCTGTTTATTTGTCAACACCACATGTCTTGATTATGTAGTATTATGGTATGTCTTGAAGTTGGTAGTGTCAGTCCTCTGACTTTATTCTTCTTCAATATAGTGTTGGCTATTCTAGGTCTTTTGTTTCTCCATATAAACTTCAGGATCATTTTGTTGATATCCACAAAATAACTTGCAGTTATTTTGATTGGATTGCATTGAATCTGTACATCAAGTTAGAAGAAAAACGACATCCTGACAATATTGATTCTTTCTATTCATGGATACAGAATTTATTTCCATTTATTTAGTTTTTTAAAAATTTATGTCAATAGAGATTTGTAGTTTTCCTTGTAAAGACCTTGTACTTTTCTCAGATTTTTACCTAAATATTTTATTTTATAGTGGTAATGTAAATATGTTTTCTATTTTAAATTTCAGTTGTTCATTGCTTGTACATAGAAAAGAGATCAACTTTTGCATATTAACTTTGTACCCTGCAGCTTTGCTCTCATTGCTATTATTTTCTTCTGTTTACTTTGCATTCAATTGGCTCTTCTTTTTCTAGTTTCCTAAAGTAGATCTTCAGATAATTTTAGATCTTTCTTATTTTCTCATATATGCATTCAATGCTATACATTTCCCCTTGAACACTCTTTTTGGTGCATCCCACCGGTTTTGTTGAACTGTAATTTTGTTCGAAAAATTAAAAAAAATTTCTCTTTACTCATGCATTGTTTAGGTGTATGTTGTTTGATCTCTGAATACTTGGGAATTTTCAAGCTATCTTTCTGTTATTATATCTAGTTTTGCTTACTGTGTTGTAAGAGAAGACAGGTGCTATTTATTTGCCTTACCTCTTCATTCTTAAAAAGTTGTAACATCCCATTCATTATTCTCACTCCCAGTTGTAGAGTTGCATCACATTCCAGGTAAAGTCATTCTTTGTCCCAAGTCCCTTATTCAGTTACTTCTCTGCTGTGAACTTTCCTTAAGTCCCCATTTTATTTCTCACATGTTTTCTTCAAAGTGAATGTTAACATTAAAAAAAAAATTAGAGAAAGAAGAACCCAAGAGGATGTATTGAAGTTGTTGCAGTCACTTTAGCTATGGGACTGACACCACTGATCAGGAGGGACATAGATTAGTAGTTCCCCAAATCATTTATTTCTTTTGCAGACTGAAGAAAGCAAACATATTTTTCAGCATACTTTTTGTTTCATGATCACAAAGCCTGTGCCATTCTGAAAATGTCTTTATTTGAGAGGAAATCAAAAAAACAAAAGACTGTGAATGATTTTAAGTACCTAAACCTCATGAAGTGAAAATTCTATTCCTAAATTCTGGTAGATTTCTGCCTAACTTGAATTTAGCCACCCAGTTGGTCGTATTACTTTTTGAACAGAGCTAATGCAAAGGTATCCAGCCTTCCTTTCAATCAGATACAGTCTGATATGGTTTGGCTGTGTCCCCACCCCAATCTCATCTGGAATTGTAGTTCCCATAATCCTCACATGTCACAGCAGGGACCTGGTGGAGGTAATTAAATCATGGGTGTGGTTACCCCTGTGCTGCTGTTCTTGTGCTAGTGAGTGAGTTCTCACAAGATCTGATCGTTTTATAAGGTGCTTTTCCCCCTTTTGCTCATTCTTCTCCTTGCTGCTGCCATGTGAAGACAGACACATTTGCTTCCCCTTCCACCATGACTGTGGTTTCCTGAGGCCTCTCCGGTCATGGGGAACTGGGAACCAATTAAACCTCTTTCCTTTAAGGATTACCCAGTCTCAGGTATGTGTTTATTAGCAGCATGAGAATGGACTAATACACAGTCTTATGTGTTGCTACACTCTGAGCCCCATTGGAAAAAATATTGCTAAAGCAGAAAAGCCTGTTTGTGAGACCTAGTAGATTTCTGTGAAAAAGAGTACATCTTACAGAAATAGTATTCTACCATTGAATAGTTCATCACTACATGGATTTCGATAAACTATGGCTCAAACCATATTTGCAAAATATAACAATCTTTACAGAAAAAGTAAAAAATCTGCTTTAAGATAAATAGCATTTCAAATAAAGCCAGCCTATGGAATCAGCCCACTACAGATAACTCTATTCAAGCACTTAACACTTAAATACATCTCTGTATATGTCACCAAATCTGACTAAATAAACTGAGATCCCATCTCATACGTAAGGACATAGAGTAGTAAATTATACTACTTACCTTTTGATAACTGGGTTCAAATTTCATAATACTTTCTATACAGGAGATATTTAGATGAGCTCTAAAAATATTGTTTTTTCTTGTCATAGGCCTCATCTTGGGAAAGAGAGAAGAGATTAAAGGCTTAATATATTTCTGACTTTAAGAAGACATGGTTGAGTTACTTTTCTTTGACTTTTTAAAAGGCAATTTCTATACCATATTTGTCATAGTGTATTATTGTTAGTGCCTTAGAGAGAGGATTAATTAGAGAGAATGTGAATTATTTCAGGGAGAAACAGTGTTTTAATTATCTGAATATCTTCAGTATCTAGTATAGTATCTGACATATAGATATTAGAAATATTGAATTATATCAGACGTGTTGTGAAGAATGCAAATGATAGTGTGGGGAAACACCCAAACACTGGAATTGTTGTCTCCCCATTGTGACAATAGTAAGTGCTTACAGATTTCAAATGCGAAAATCCTGCATTCGCCTGCATTCTGACTCTAGCCTCGTTCTGAGGGCTCCAGGACATGTTCATTTCCACTTGAATAAAAATGAGGAAAAGCAACGTCAGTAATTGTACCACTTTTTGATTTTATGTATATTTTGATTTTATGTATATTTAATGGCAGGTTAGCCATTAAAAAGTCACAATGTCCTTCTCCTTTTTATCTTCCAAACTCTACCTTTTTTTTTTCTGGGAGATTTTCTTATCCCTTTTCAAACTGAAGTCACTGCTTTTTCAATGGTTTTCTTTTTCTAACATTTCCTGAAAAAACTTGCACTTGAAAAACTTGAACTTTCTTTAATATTTTAGAAATGAATCAATAAATAATCATTTTTAAAATTTTTGTAGAACATACAAATCTGTCTAATACTTAAATTTACAGTAAACTCTATTCTTCACTTACTTTGCTGGGTACCAGTCTGATGCCACAAGCATCCCTGAAGTCCTTACGGAAGATGAGTTGTATTATATGTAAATAATATGCAGAAAAATACAGAAGAATTATTAGAGTCTAATAAAAACTCCCTTTTTAATTTTTATTAAAATCTACCAACCTCCTTCAGGATGTTTATTCAGCACTTTCTCAATGTAAAGGCACATCCTCAGTGTTTTAATCCTGTGTTGTCAGGATTTCCACCCAAAACTCATTGTCGCCCCTTTCCCTGCTGGACCTCTGATCTTTGCATGTGGCTTCCTTGCAGTAATCCCCATATGTCAGGCCACAGTGCACTGACCTCTCCGTGTGATCCTCTGGGAGGATCTCATCCACATTCATGGTTTTAACCATGCCTCATATATTGATGACACCCTACCCATCCAGGATTGACCTTTTTGTAAGCTTAGTCTTGTATCCAATGGTTTGCTGAATAGCTAAGCTACTCACAATCACAAAGAAACTGTATATCCTCTGAAAGATATACAGCAGGCTTTAACGTCGGTTACCCCAAGGTGATGAAAGTGAAGAAAGACGGAGGTTAGCTTTGCCTTTCTATATTGTTTTCTATTTTATTTTATATAACAAATGTTTATGCTGTGCATTTGTTATTTTGTATTTTGGTAATTACTAAATAAAGACAACGAAGAAGGAGCAGGAGAAATGTGCTCTACACCTTGCCTCTCTGCCTACAATTTAGTTCTCCTGAAGTCTGTGCTTTATATAGGTGATCTTTCTAAAATGGAAATCTAACAGTTCTGCTCTTCTCCTTTAAGCTAATGCTCTCTTGACTAAAGGATAACATCTAAAATCCCCTAATGTGGCATATTTTCCATTCTTTGATTCAGCCAAATTTTATCTTTCAATTCCAGTTTTGCCTTGACTTGATACTACAGCACTATTAACTTACTGAAATTCCTACCCGCACCATACCGTGACTTGTCTCAATGCCTTTGCTTATGTTTTCTCTCAGCTAAATAGGAATTATACTTTAGACTCAGCTCAGATGTCTTTTCTCTTAGAAGTCTTCTGTGACACTAATCCCCAATATCCAAGTTGGGGTGGATGTACCATCTCTTTATTCCCACAATGGACTGATGCAATAGTTGTCATAAGTGGTTCACAGATTTGGGGGATTCCTAAGTCCTTTCTAGGGCTCCACAAATTCAAATTATTTTTATACCACTACTAAGATGATATGTGCCTTGTTCACTATGTTGAAATTGGTTATTTGGCACACATTTTTCTGTAAATAAATGAAGTCAGGCCGTCACTTCAAAAATAAACAGCTAATAGTCTTTGTTGTTATGAAAAAATTAAACTTTTAAGAGAAAACTAGAATGTTGGAAAGCTTTTATCAGTCATTATGAGCTTGATATTATATAATATAATTTATCAACATTTATATGATTTATATAACTAAGAACCAATATCTTTTAAATTATCAATTATAATGTTATATAATTATGCATGGCTAAAAGATCCACCCTATATGTAAGATATATCAATGAGTTGTTATGTATAATATGAAAATTTATTAATATTACTTTAGAGTTCTCTTTGATACTAACATTTTAGAAATAACTTGAAGTTTGGTGTAGTTTAAAATAATTACCTTAAAAGGCTATTAAAATTCTCTACCCTTTACTAAATATGTACTTACAGGAAGTGATATATTTTTCATATATAACAACCCAAACAACATATCACAATAAATTAAAAATAGAAGCATATATGAAAATCCATGTATCTTCTACTAAGATGGATATTAAGTAGATTTACAAATATTTAAAACAATGCCTTTCTTCTAAGATTTGTGTTTTGGAAAATCTAGCTATATTTCACAGAAGAATGTTATTTTAACATGTAAAAGGTTTATTATATTTTAAAATAAATTAATAAATATTTTGAAATGCCACATGTTAAATTTTTAAGAGTAAACATTGATAAATTTAATACATGTAAGTAAAAGCTGTCCAAGATCCTCAATAATTTGTAAGCATTTAAAAGGGTTCTAGGATTTTAAAAATAGTTTGAAAACTGCTTTCCTAATGCATGTCTCAGTTATTACGTGCCACATGCCTTATAAATATGTTGATGTGTCTGTCTCTGTAATCCTACACTTAGATCCTCGAAGACTGGGCTGTCTTTAATTATTCAGTATTCAAGGAGGTTTTACAGGGAAGGAAAATGTGAGTGTTCCCTTTGTCATTTAAGGTTCAATATATTGAAACTCACATCTAAAAGATAAAACTATGAAAACTCATTTTTCTTAAACATTCAAATATTAGTTATGATTTTCACTAATTTCTCTCACATAATTTATATGGCAATTATAATTTCTAAACACCTTAACAACAAAGATATACACAAATGCAGTAATACTAAATTTATAGCATTTACATTTAACTTCTAGTCTAAAAGAATCAACTCCATAGACTTACTTTAATTATTCCTTATTTCTATACCAGATTTTGTACATTCTCAAATTATTTTCATACTGATTTTGATACCTTCCTGAGGTTTCAGAAAATCAATCATATATTGATTTCTTTCTGGAATGTTATTGATCATTCTAGACTTCCCTCCCCTCAGAAGAGCAGATGTTTCAGAATCAAGGTAATCAATCAGTTACTGAAGATCTTCTCTCAGCCCCCAGTACAAGGGAATTAAACCACAGCGATATATAATTTGGCTGAGCCCTTTTTAACCATAATGTTTTCTTGTTCGATATTCTGATATACCGTCTTTCTCACATATATTTTTATGTCTAGAAATTGTTGTCTTTCCAATAAATCAAGTTTTAAGTAGCCTGCAAATACTTAACACATTGAATTGTCTTTGAAATGAGGTAACTTTGTTTAATTTTATTAACTTCATTATTATTTTTATTAATAATAATTATTCAAAAAAATCCATCCAGTATTTTCATCTCCTAGGAGATAAAGGACTGAAACTGCACTCTCTCATTGTGAGTTCTTTGACTAACTGATCAAAATTCTGAAATAGTGTGGCACATTCTTTCCCCTGAGATTTTATGTGTAGCCATATATGTTATACATAGTTGGAGCCAGTTTCAATAGGGTTCTTATGAGTGACTATCACTGTTCACCATTCCTTTCTATTCTTGGTATGTGGCTACATTTTCCAGAATGACTTGAGTTACACCCAGATAAACTTGGCAAACAAGCATAGAACACATGTAAAACTCCCAAATGATATAACAACAACTTGTTTATTAATATTCGTAAAAACGATATACCTCTTACTGCTAATTCACCCTTCTTTTTTATTTTAATTACCTTTGAAACACTGTCTTCACTTGGATTCCAGGATAACACTTTCATGGTTCTTCTTGATCACCTTTCTTCATCTACTTTGCTTGTTCTCAATCCTCAACGTCCTCAATCTGGGCATTCACATGTCCAATGTATATACACACATAGACGTTAATGACGAATACATTTCTGTCATCAACCCAGTCTTCCCAGAACTCTAGCCTCATGTAACCACTGCCTACTCTGCATCTCCTCTTGAATGCCGAATAGGTAACTAACATTTAATATGCTCAGCTCTGTGCTTCTGCTCTTTATCACTAAACCTGCTTCTCTTCCAAATTCCATAAATGCCAACTCCATTCTTGCAGTTCTTTACGTGACAATTTTGGTATCACTCTTGACACCTTTTTCTCAGACTCTATAGCATTGGTTCAGAAAATCTTGTTCATGTTACCTTGGTAATATATGCGGAATCTGATTTCTACTCAAGCTCACATGATTCTGCTTGTAGATTATTGCAGTGGTCTCCCACATAGTGATCTCACTTCTACTATTGCCCCACCTGCAATCCATTGTCCCCACAGCTGCAAAAGGCTGCTTCTTTCACCCAAAAGAAAACCAAACTTTCTCCAGTGGCAAAACAAACAAAAAACAAAAACGAAAACCTCTACACAATTCTATTTCCTGGAAATATCTGACTTCATCTCCAACATTCTTCTTTCTTTACACTATCCTTTTCCCAAAGAATCTTCTGGTTCGCTTTCTCTTCTTCACAGCTTCTCTAGCATTCATTGCCCAGCTTCCTCATTTATTTCTTTCCGTAGTACTCAGCACTGCTGAGATGCAAGATTTTGCTTATTTATTCATTTTTTTCTCTCCACTAGAATGCTAGCTCTAGCAACTGCCCACTTAATAAATATAGGGTGAAGGACTGAATTAAATAAATACATATGAAATATGAATATCAATAAGAATTTTTTGTTTTTTATAAATCAAATGTGTTCCAATTAACTGTATTATTGCTATACTTTTTAATAGATGATCAAACTATTTCAACATGGCCATCTGAATCTTGTTTTTTATTTATTTCATTTTGAGACAGAGTCTCACTCAGTCTCCCAGGCTGGAGTGCAGTGGCGCAATCTCAGCTCACTAAAACTTCTGCCTCCCAGGCTCGATTGATTCTCCTGGTTCAGCCCCCTGAGTAGCTGGGACTATAGGCGAGTGTCACCACAGCCAGCCAAGTTTTGTATTTTAGTAGGGACAGGGTTTCAACATGTTGACCAGGCTGGTCTTGAACTTCTGACCTCAGGTGATCCACCAGCCTTGGCCTCCTAAAGTGCTGGGATAATAGGCATGAGTCACCATGCCTAGCCCTGGAAAGTCTTTAGATTTTATTTTATTTTTTTCCTTGATAACTGCCTCTGTTACTTTTGAACGTATTCCTGATGGATGGCAGAAGTAAAATTTCTAGGCCCATTCTATTTTTCTCCTGATGCAAGGTATGGAATTAACTACATAGAAAACCTAACAGTCCTGATTATCTGTAGTGGAGACTAGTATGAGAGACTAAAATCATTATCTTAGGGTGTCCTGAAAATTGGAAATGGGTGAAGTTTCAATACTTCTGCTATTTCTACTGTTGGAGAGCTTTAGTGGTGTCAAGCTTTAAATAATATATTATTTTAAGGTCCTAATGTCACACGGTATTTCTAATTTAACTGATTAGATTACTATGTCTTACTTTCCTTTGTATGTAATTTCATCGTCTTTTTCTTACTTTGGCCATTTTTGTATCTCCAGAATCTAATCCAGTGGCAAATAAATAGAAAATGCTCAATAATTGATAAGTCAATTATTATTATTATTTTTTTTTGAGACGGAGTTTCGCTCTTGTTACCCAAGAGTACAAGTACCCTTGGAGTGCAATGGTGCGATCTTGGCTCACCGCAACCTCCGCCTCCTGGGTTCAGGCAATTTTCCTGCCTCAGCCTCCAGAATAGCTGGGATTACAGGCACGCACCACCGTGCCCAGCTAATTTTTTGTATTTTTAGTAGAGACGGGGTTTCACCATGTTGACCAGGATGGTCTCGATCTCTTGACCTCGTGATCCACCAGTCTTGGCCTCCCAAAGTGCTGGGATTACAGGCTTGAGCCACCGCACCCGGCCGATAAGTCAATTATTTTTACATAGAATAGTAAGATAAGATGGGAAATTTTAAGGACCGGTGTGATGTAGGCCAAGTATTCACATCAATGTAGTGTGTCACTAGAAAAAGTTCATTTCTTGGGCTAGTTTGGGAGGATGCATTAGAAACTAGTTGAAAAGTCCAGGTATTCCCTGACATTTCTTCTTATCTAGTATGCTACAGCATGCATTATTTTCTCCTTACAATAGGAACGGGGCCTCTAACAGAACAGATTCTATGTGGTGCATATTTATCCACTTGTATTAAAATTTCACTCAATATCAACTTTTTCTCTAAGGAATTCAAAGTGCTTTACACAGATTAGGAATGGTGACAAGTCACTTGTGAAGTAAATAATAAATCTTTGAAATAACATAGCACTTACCATCAGTGGAGCCCAAAACACTTCAAATGATTTATCTCATTTATCTTCACAATATTCCTGTGAGAAAGGCAAGTATTAGCTCCACTTTGAAGATCAGACACTGTCACAAACTGGTCATGAAGTAAGTCGGGGCAATAAGACAACAAGTGAAAGATGGTGCATATGGGACCGGTTCTCTTCTCTTTGTCCAACGCACTGTCCGTAAGACTGCTCTTTTCTACATAATGAGTTTCAGTAGAATAGTCCTTCCAAAGAACTGTAAAAATTATCTTACAGTAAGTCTTACCAATAAGTCACTTATTTATCATTTACCTGGGGTTGTGACAACAGTTCCTTCTGAGTAAAATCCCTGTGCTGGAGATTGTGGGGTCTTACCAATTATTCGGTCAAATATGATAGGAAATGGTAACTTGCAGATGTGAGTGTTCAGCAATTTGATCTATAGTGAATTCCCAACTTTTAAATTATTTCTATTCCTTTATTATTGAAGCTTTTACAAATCCTCATGCAAAGTTGCTTCTAAGGATTTATGAATATTTCTTCTGGATATCTAGATTGCCACCTAACACTTTAAAACAATAAAAAAATTCAGACAATTCTTTAAAATGTATATGCCTGATGAGAAATAATTCATTTTTATATTTCTTTCACCTAGACTTCCTTCCAAGTCTCTGGCAAAACCTTCTCACTTGCACATCTGAGATGGTTAAAGTTAGCACACTAGTCTCCTGACAGCCGTGGACCTTAGGTGGCTGCACCAAGAAAACCTTGTCCTACTGCAAGTCAAGGGATTTTGATACTTGTCAGGAAATTCTCCCAAGAGCATCATTGATTTTCTAAGTACCTGGAATTGAATTAGAGTAAAATGGAAAACATTTATTTCAATATATACAGGAAGCATTTACATTGTATTTAACACTTCCTGTAGATATTGAAATAAATGGGCTTCTATCTCCTGCTTACTACAAGAATGATAAAATCATTCTATAAGAGATGCAAAGTTTTACACTGAAGCAATGAAATCAAGTTATTTTCAAAATCTCTCCTCCAGGGGATTTCAAGTGGGTTGAGGGAGAAGTTTCCATAAACCTCGAGAGTCCTTAGATATATTAGTCAAGGTTCCCCAGAGAAACAGAACCAATAGAATAGATACAGATTGAGAGAAAGATAGAGATAGATATAAATATATATAGATTATCTGTCTCTTTCTATCTATATTTATTTATATCTCCCTCTCTCTATATATATCTGTCTATATTTATCTTATTGGTTCTGTTTCTCAGTTCAATCGTGTGTGTGTGTGTGTGTGTGTGTGTGTGTATACACGCAGAATTTACAAAATGTAAAAGAACATTGCAATAAAGCTTCATTTATTGAGTGCCTACTATGTGCTAGATATGTCAATTTCTAATGCACATTATCTAATGTAATCCTCACGGCAACCCTACTTATTGTCAGCAGCTAATAAGTGGCGATGAGAACCTAGGTTTTCATTGTGAACATGGACATAATTGCCTGATACCAAGAGTTAGCTCCATTCCCTTCCTATTTTACCTCTCTCTAATCATATATATAATAAGTGTTCTACACATTCTAACTAAGCCTAATGCCAAAACTTTAATTTCAAAGTTAAGGCCGGGTGCGGTGGCTCACACCTGTAATCCGAGCACTTGTGGGAGGCTGAGGCGGGTGGATCAACTGAGAGATCAGGAGTCCGAGACCAGCCTGGCCAACATGGTGAAACCCCGTCTCTACTAAAAATACAAAAAAAAAAAAAATCAGTCAGGCCTGGTGGTGCGTGCTTGTAGTCCCACCTACTTGGGAGGCTGAGGCAAAAGAATCACTTGAACCTGGGCAGTGGAGGTTGCAGTGAGCTGAGATCACACCATTGCACTCCTGCCTGGGTGACGTAACGAGACGCTGTTCTCAATTTTTTTTTTTAAATTGAAATTCCCATAGATAATGACACAAGTATTTGATCACAAGATCCTCACACTGAAGCAGGAGTGACAGCTCCAACTGCACAGGGGCTGGGATGTTGTGTCATCATCAGCAACGATGATGCTGTTATCATTTCTGCTGGGGCAACTCTACCCTTGTAGGTTGCTGATGTCCTTCAGAATCTACTCCAAGGAACAGATTTTTACACTTGGAATATTTAAACTCAATGAGATGATGCACTTGTGGAGTTGAAATTACTGTCATTTGTGTTTTCCTAGGGAAAGCTATTATTGATGAAAGCCTCAAAGGAATAAGGTGTAGGAATGATAGTCTTTTTCCTAATGGGACATACAAAATTTTCCTTGCAGACGACGTTGAAGAAAAAACTCTACTTGACTGATATTTAACCTGTGCTCAACAGTCACTCTAAAAATTATTGCCACCCATTGGGAAGACTAGCCTCAACCATCAAATGGTCAAGGCATACCTGAGAGGACTATCTATAGATAAATAACTGCTTCACTAAAGGTTAAAGTTTCAAAAATACCAATGTATCTCTGTGTTTAGATATTTATTCTTTTTTTTTTTGACAGAGTACTTCCTGCTCTGTCACCAGGCTGGAGTGCAGTGGTGCCATCCTGGCTCACTGCAATCTCTGCCTCCTGGGTTCAAGGGATTCTCCTGCCTTAGCCTCCTGAGTAGCTGTGACTACAGGAATGCACCACCATGCCCAGCTAATTTTTGTATTTTTAGTACAGACAGGGTTTCACCATGTTGGCCAGGATGGTTTCCATCTGGTGACCTCGTGATCCACCCCCCTTAGCCTCCCAAAGTGCTGGGATTGCAGGAGTGAGCCTCCATGTCCAGCCTAGACAGTTATTCTTACACAAGCAAAATGCAACGGTTGTGAAACAGTCCTTGACCTAATTTCCTTTGTGATAGTGAAGACCTAGAAGTTTGGATATTCCAGGTGAGACAGAGGAGCAGAAAGAGATGTGTAAGAGGAGAGCAATCATAGAAATGGAAAAGAAAGTGAAAATCAGATTTCCTAACTTAAGCTAGGATATTATGGACAGATATACCTATCAACTTTGTCTCTAATTCAGGACATTTTTTGATAAGCAAAAGCAATGAAGTGAGCCCCATTAACATTTAATGCTGTGCATTATACTGATTATACAAACATATTTCTTTGAGACTCTTCAATGAGATCTGGCTAGTGAAGCAATTAACTCCATTTCCTCATCTTAGGTAGTCAGATTTCCCTCTGGCGTTAAAACATATTTTAATTGGATACTATCTAGTTATTGCTCACATTTTATATTAGTAACTTGTCTTTAAGGATTTTTACATTGGTCACTTTTGCCTTTGTGGGAATACAAATGCTCATAGCTTCAATTTATTTTTTCTAATTTGTTCCACAAATTGCATTTGTTGTTGGCGGTAGTAGTTCTTGTTATACAAAATGTTAACGTCAAAGAAGGCCTTTTATTGCATATTAAATGCACATGCAATAAAATCCTCAGTAATTCTGAACCCAGTTATCTCTGATTTGACCAACTTACGCAGCTAAGAGCCAGTTGATGAGACACAAGCCACCTTTATCCTAATTTTGTGAGAGCTGTGAAAGGTAGGAGGAGTGTCCTCTTTTGTTTTTTTTTTTTTTTTTTTGGTGGAGATGGAATCTTGCCACGTTGCCCAAGCTGGTCTCAAACTCTTGGGTTCAAGTGATCCATCTGCTTCGGCCTCCCAAAGAACTAAGATTAAAGGCATGAGCCACCATGCCTGACCAGAAAGAGTGCTTTTAAAGAACAGAAGTCAAGTAAGAGAGTCAACCTGAGTTCCCCCTTTTCATGTATAAGATCCCACCCCTGTGCCTTTGCTCATGTTGATTCTTTGCCTGGAATGTATTTGCTTTTATCTGTCCTTCAAAGTCCAATTCAACGTTACATCTCCTATGAAGCTTTCCCTAGTTGCAAATATTCTCTCCTGGATTTCCATTTCAATTTACCTGTACTTGCTTAAAACATATCACTTTCTACTTTGCCTTGAAATTAATTATGCTTATTTCTTATAGCCCTATAATAACCTAGGTATTTCTTGAAGTGATTATTGTGGGGTGTGTGTGTGTGTGTGTGTGTGTGTGTGTGTACAAAATGCTTCAGTGCCTAAGCAGAGTGCCAAGCATATAGTAGAAACTCAATAAATGCTTTTTAACAAATGAATTAAAATGAGTATGAATTTAATTATACATATTAAGTAACAGTATAGTTTCAAGCAGGATTAACCAAACTTATGCTGGTATTTCTTGATTAAATGTAAAAACATTTGTTTCAATCTCTAACAAATTATTTCTAGAAGTCAGAGACAGAACTTTACTGATTTTAGTTTAAACTAAAACTTATGCTTGATATACTGTCAATATAATATAACAGTGAAGAACAGTGAAGTTGGATTCAAATTACATGATTTCACAGTTTCTGAGATTTTTACTCTTCAAGATATGTGATGTTAAGTGCAGTGTAAGAAAGGGTTATGATTAATCTGATGAAAATTATAACTTAGCATATAACCTTAATAAAAGTAAAAAGTTCAAACAGAACATATGAAATTGTGTCTATGAATCAGGAGAATGATCTGTACCTTATTACTAAAAGTAAATCTCACTTTTACTGAGCCAGAGTGTTTTTGTATCTAGAGCTGGCATTAGGGAACTACTGAGATACAGAAAAAAAATGTGCTAGGACATAAACTCTTCTCATGATTTGAAGTATGTCAAAAGATGTAGCTACCTTCAAAAGGAATAAAGCCTACCATCACCAATATTTGCTGAAATCAGCTTATAATTGTTCGGAGGTCTGGGAGGCTGCTAAAGACTGCACCTGCCTCCCTAACTACAACTTCCCACTTTTCATTTTAAAGAGACTAATACCCCATCATGCTCATAATCTCCAAAGCAGTTCCTGCTTCAACTCCCAGCTGACAGAAACCTTGATTCTTATCCTCAGTTGGTGTTCTGTCTGTCAGAAGGAAACTTCCAACAGTTGGCTATGGATTTTTCTTCATTCCCTTCCAGGCTTTGTTCTTCACCACGTTGAAAGTTTAGCCTAAGCAATGT